CCGAGCGATCTCCGAAGACTGACAAAAATTAAAACATTTCTATTATTTATTATATTAAAATATAATTCTTTTTAGTTCTACATTTTCATGTACTTACTTTTATACTATCCGAAACTCAATATAAACGTATATTTAAAAATACGTATATAAAAAAATAAAAAGGTACCCAGAAAAGCGATACGCCAAAAACTTACAGGTTAGTCATGTATGGATCCTAAGTACCCTCTTTGAACTTTTATACATTCTCACATCGAGAATAACGCACAAAAAATATCTCTGCGGGCTTATCATATGTATGGACAGTTAGTTTTTTTCAGCCTCAATTCAGCTCTTTAAATTATATTATAAAAAAGTTACAGCAATGTAAAAAATCGCATAAAATTGCATACATTGAAACCATGAATGGCTTACTAGGGTTAATAATCAGTAAATTCTTTTGATATTTATAACTGATGAAATTTGTTGTAGCACTCAAAATTTGTTTCACACTCATCTGCAAAAAAATGGGCTACTAAATTTTAGTACAAATTTTTAATGTGTTTTGAGTAGCAATATCAAAAAAATTATAGCGAGATGTACCAAAGCTTAAATTAAACAGCTTGAACATTCTCATTAATAATCATGTAGATCAAATTTGGATTACACAAAGTGTATTATAAAATAGTGGACATTAAAGACAGACATTGAATGGAAACAAATTTTTCATTCAAACTATTGCATTACTCAAGGGAATTGGCTGCCAGGCATAAAAGTGAGTTTTTAAGATCATTGATTTTTAAACAAATCCGAATTTGGAACATTTTTTTACGATTTTTTAAACAAAATTATAGTGTTTAAAAAAATGCTACAAAATAGAGAACTTTTATTTATAAACTTAATAGCGGGGCTATTTGGGACATTTTTTTTTACGACTTTTGAGTCCTATATTCATAAAAAAAATTTGTTGGACAGTTTAAAAGGTTGAACCTTACCATTAATAATTATTATAGATTAAATAACTATTATAGATTAAATACTTTGTACTTATTTTGTTCTACATATAAAAATGTTACACATGCGCGAATGCGCGCGCGCGTGCGCACGCACACACACGCACACACGGGATCAGATATCTGTCACATGCATGTCGTTGATCTTTTGTAACGCCAAAAGCAGGATATATGCATGCATATGTATGTACATACTTATATGAAATTAAAAAAAATTAAGATTTGAAATTTATACTGTAATTTCTTTTTAGGAAAAATTTCGTACAACAATTTTTTCTGAGTTATACTGAGTTTACAAGAAAAAGTTGTCTGTTTTACAACACTTTCTTTAAAACGTAACATTTTCTATAACTTTGTTTAGAAAATCATATAAAAATATTCCAAATATGAATTTGATTGAAAATTAATGATCTTAAAAACTCATACACTTTTGTGTCTGGCAGCCAATTTCCCTAAGCAACGTAATAGTTTAAATAAAACATTTTTTTCCCGATCTTTTAATGTCCGTTTTCAATGTTATTTTGTAATACACTTTGTGTAATTTAAATTTTATCTGCTGTCAAGAAGAATGTTTAAAATTTAATTTGAGCTTTGGTTCACATACACATCTCACTATGATGATTTTTTATTGAGATATCGCTGCTCTATAGAATATATTATATATTAAAATATATAAAAGTTTGTGCTAAAATTTAGTGGTCCGTTTTTTTGCGGATGAGTATACACTATAAATAAAAAATTTTCTATATTATTTCTTTGAATAATTATTGAATTATAATTTTTTCAAACATTTATAGCATATTCTCTCTAGCACCGTAAATATCACAAAAGGAGATTTCTATGATATGATGAAACCTTGGCTGGGCAACGGACTTTTGACATCTACAGGTAAATCACATATTTATTTTTCTTACATATTTATTATATATTTATTTTTTTCTTATATTTAGAATTTTATTAAAAATAAATAGCAGCTTATTTCAGAGCTGGGCATGTACTCGTATTTGGAATACTTTTATTTTTAAAAAAGTATTTGTAAAACAATTGTATTTTGTGTTTTAACGGAACGCATGAAACTATTCTGTATTTTCAATATGATTAGAAACAAGACCGTTTATGTTAAATATTACATTACTTAAATACGAAGCGCCACTCCGGTCTGAATGTTAAGATGTTGAACTTATATATATTATATATTCATTTAAATGAATTAATTTCAGAAATGATAATTATGTGCCGATATGGTTGTCGGACTTTCAACGCAATTAATCTGAAATATTAATAATCCTCCCAAATTTCCCAAATCTTAAAAAACTGTAATAAACTTATTGCAAAAAATATTGCTTAAATAAATTTATTAGAAGTCGTGCGCCTCTGAAGTAGAGGAGCAGATGGGGTGGGAATCGCTTTGCGTGGAAATTGTGCACCTCTTAACCGGAGAGAGGTGCAGTGAGAGTATGCTTTGTATGAAACGATAGTCGTAAAATATATTTAAAGCAGAAAATTCGTGTTTTATATAGTAAAAAAAAATCATTTTTAAACTTTTTTTCTTAATAATTTTTTAACAAATAACGAGCGACGACTAAAACCTATTGAAGATTACTCAGAATCATGAACTAGACAACATATGTCAAGGTCAAGGTCAGAGAGGTCTCCCCTAAAGTAAATATTTATCCAAAAAATTTTTAATCTCTTTCAATATTAAATACAAAATATGTAATACTTTTATGTGCTCCGTTGAAATACGAAAAAACAAAATATAATACACTTGCATTGCAAATAGTACATTTTAAATAAAAATATTTCAAATGTCCAACTTCGGCTCATTTTTATCATGTACGCTATTTTAATGTATAATTATTCGTGAAAACATTTAGATAAGATAAAAAATGAGGTCTCTGTTTTTGTCTAATGTAAACGTATATGCATTTGTGCTTCAATACAGAAAAGAATATATTTTAGTCGTTATGGTAAATATATATTCTTTCTAAAACTGTTAGAATGAAAGCTCACTCTAAAGAGCGAAATCTCACTCTTAAAGATTGAAAATTAAGTCACTCTTTTTCAAGACAGATTCAATTTTCACTTCAAAGAATTTAGAGAGTTTGATTGTATAGTTAATCTGATTATTTATGTTGCTCATGTGCTAGAAAATTTGTGCAGTGTTTCGCGAACTTTTTGTCTTGTTTACATCGCTAATATCGAGTAAGGAAGATAGAATATAAAAAAACAATAGGAATAACAAAACTATCTATTTTTTTTTAATTGACAAGGAAACTTTTCCCAAGTGTAAATGTCAGAATAAAACCAAACCTATATAAATCTGTTACTTGGGTAACAGATATACAATGAATGGTAACTAATAAATGAAATTCATTATTTATATAAGCTCTATCGATATAAATTATTATATCTCCGATATAAACAAAAATGTACATATATCAAATATACTTAAATTTTTACGTATAATTGACCATTCTATTTTGTTAATTCTTGCTTTTCAGCAAAATATAGGTTTTTGGTCGTCGATATTATTTCGAAATTTATGAATTACACAATAGAAATAATGCAATTTACACATGGAAGTATTTCCTTGTGAATTAAAAAGTATTCTTTTGTTAAAATCTCTCTTCATCTTTTGCGATATTTTTACAATTTTATTTTTACATATATATCACATTTTAATGCTACTTTAGGTGAACAATGGTTTCACGATAGAAAACTCATCGGACCGACGTTCCATTTTAGTATATTAGATCACTTTGCTGTGGTTGTGTTTGAAAAAGCAGAAATTCTGGCAAAGTGTCTCCAAAAAGAGATAGAAAAGAATCCAGGAAAAGCCGTTAATATTTTCCCTTTTATGATCAATGCTACTCTCGATATTATCTGCGGTAATGTATCATGCTTTTAATTACAACGTATATAATTATAATATTTTATGAGAAAACACGTTTTGTTTATTGATATAGACATTTTATGCTGCAAACTTTATCAATTATTTTATGGATAATAAAAAAAAATATATAAACGGTAAAGATGCTAAAGTGTTTTATTAGAGCGTATTGATATTGTATTTAGTATCAGTATCAGTGTGCTCCTTGCCCTGACAAAGTGAATGGCAAGGTTCACAAAACGTTAGCATTAGGAACGGACAAAAACACAGCGATAACTTGGAAACTTTCTAGTATTCTTAAAAATAATAGCTATAAAAACCTAAAAAGCGTTATATAAAGGGTAATTTTAATTGTGTTATTACAAGCAATACGACAAAAGGGTTTATCATTAATACTAATTGTTATCTTACAGAAACAGCAATGGGTGTGGATGTACATGCTCAAGAAGTTGCAACCAAATATACATCAACAGTACACCTGTCAGTTTTTTAAATTCTTATATTGCTATTATACTATCCAACACCATTTTCCAACACGAGTGTGAATAATTGGTTTTCATATTTTTGCTTGCTGAACATGAAAAAATCTGTTAGCTAAAATTGCGTTTAAATTTCAAGAATAATGACATTGAAATGATAAATTTAAGGGTTTTCATAAAATTATAAATAACAAATATTTTAATTATTAAAAAATTTATAAATTAAATTTTAATGCCATGCGGAAAGAACTTTTAAAACTTGTTTTACATTTTGTTTTGTTTCGATATATTTTTGTTTTCAGGAAGCAATTTGGCAATAGCTTTTTTTTCATGTGTTACATAAAAACGACATTTTAAATATATGAAAAATTATATTAAAACAACATGCATTTTAAATTTAGAAATTTTTTTAATGATATTTTTGTGTTTAATTAATAAAATTTTTTAAAATTCCCTTCGAGCTACAATGTCACAAAAATCTCAATCGTCATTTTTTGCTTCTTTAATTTGCTTCAAAATTGTGATATGATAGTCAGCTTTGTTTACAAAACAAAAATACATAAGAAATGATAGAAATCAAAGTCTTCAACGGTCTAGCTGGATCTTAAATGCTTGTATGATTCTTATGTAAATTTATGTGCTAATATTCTTCGCAATAATTGGCATATAAAGGAAACAACATCTCTTTAGGCGACGTAATAAACAATATAGTATATTATAGAACCTTAAATGTGATAACACATACTATAGTTGTCACATATACGGTCCTGTAATATATTATATTATTTATTTACGTCGCCTAAAGAGATGTCGTTTCTTTATATGCGAATTATTGTGAAGAATATTACTAACTCCTCGGTAGTCTAAAGGACGCTCGCACTGAATGCGAGAGATCCGGGCTCGACTTCTGGCCGAGGTAATATTTTTAAATAAAAGTTAATTATTTACGGATTTTAATATGTTATTCAATATTATTAATATTGTTTCAAAGATGCATCAAAAATTTATTAAATTGCTAGTCAATTTAACTCGTGATTTTACTGCGGTAGTTTAGTAAAGTTAGATTGAAAAATCATTTCGACGCGCGTTTCTGTGGATTACATACGTAATATATAAATTCACATAAGAATCATACAAGCATTTAAGATTCAGCTAGACCGTTTAAGGCTTTGATTTCTATAGTTTGTGTTATTACATATACGATCCTATAATATATTATATTACATAAAAGATGGTTATTCATATTCGTGTTGCAAAAAATGTTTTGTTGAACAGTATTATTAATGAAACAGCTAATAAATTATTATTACTTGGGTGTTAAGAATTAATGGTAAATTTTAATAATTAGTTACATAACATGTAATTAATTATTAAAATTACATATTATGTAGTACGTAAGAGTTAGATGACAATCGTACTTTTAGAACTTCTTCGTTAATAATGAAACGAATGCTTCGACCGTGGCATTGGATTGATTGGTTGTTCTACTCATTACCTTCAGGGAAACAGTTTAAATCAGCGCTTGATATATTGCATGGATTTACAAAAGAGGTATACTATAGAAATACTAAAAATGTTTTTTGTATTTAGCGACTTAAAACAGTGTTAAAGTTTTACTAAAATTTTTACATTATTTTGATTGAGGAATGTTCACATTTACATCTAATATCATAAATTCTATATAGGTGATAAATAAGAGAAAGATTGAACGACAATCACAAAGCGGCCATACGGAATTTGAAAATGAAGACAATGAATTTAACATAGGTGCGATTGTAAATTTGAATTATATATTATACTTTATACAGATTATAGGTACATAATTTATTTAGGTACTTCATAAATATTCCTTATTTAATAAAATTTATTATATTAGATAAGTGTAAGAGACAGGCGTTCTTAGATCTATTATTAGATCAGAATGCGAAAGCTGACACCCCTTTGACCGATGATGAATTGAGAGCGCAAGTTGACACGTTCATGTTTGCAGTAAGATGTCTGAAATAAAAATTAAAATTAAAATTTTATAATTTTTGTAACATAAAATTTTCTCTTTATTTATTTAAATTAGCAAGATAATGTATCTATAAAAAGGACATGTAAAATAATATAAAAATGTTAATAGGGGCATGATACAACTGCGGTTGCGATAACTTGGACGCTCTTTCTTTTGGGTAATAATTTAGAGCATCAAGCAAAAGTTCACGAAGAACTCGAGAAAGTTTTCGGAGATTCAGAAACACCAGCCAGTGTAAAGGAGCTGTCGAAATTAAAGTATCTCGACAGAGTCATAAAGGAGACACTCCGAATATTTCCGATTGCACCTGTAATCTCAAGGGAATTAACGGAAGATGTAAAAATAGGTAGGCCATAACTTTATCTGCTACTTAAGTAAGAATTTCAGAAAATGCAACAATATATAAATTTATTTATAATAAAGTAATTAAATTAGAATTATGCAAATCAAGCATTTACAAAATCGAATTGAATCGAATCTGTGACATATTCGAAAACGAATCTGAAATCTTAACACTGAATCAAGTCGAATCGAATCCTTTTGATTTGAAAACGAATCAAATTTTCACATACTGACAGCTAAAAAAAACTTAAAAGCTGAAAAAATTCATTTTAAATGTACAAGTATATCCAAAAGTTGATAATGTGACATAAATATATTAATACAATAAATCATATTTGCATATAGTAAATTATACTATAAAATGTAATAACAACAAACATAATTAAAAGTATGTAGAATCATACATCTATTACTATCAAGATTTGGAAATTGATAGCAAAGTTAGATAGTTATTACGAAATCATATGGCAAATGCAACTAAATTATTAATTGTTTTAATCAAAATAATTTGGTAATTGTGACTAAATAATCCCTTTTATATATATATATATATATATATATATATATATGTCACAGAAAAATTTATACTATTATATCTTAACGAAAAAAATAATTTTTTGTTATTATTACTTTTTATTTTCTCATTTTAATTCATTATTTTCTATTTTGCATATCTATATATTCTATGTTATTAACTATAATTAATTATTAAAAAACGCATCGCATTGTCGGTAAAATTTAAATTTACGATTCTTAGAACGATAGTCTAATACATTTACGCTGATCTAATCGCACGCTTGTGACATAACATTGCCAACGTTACTTATACTTCCTACTGTAACCATTTTTAATTTCATGCCTCTGCTGCTAGTTAATATTATTAATATTTGAGGAGATTACATGGAACGAAATACACGTAGTAACAATAATTTCTTAATAAAAATGTCATTGTATATTTGTATAATCTTGAAGTTGTTGAGAGACACCTTCATTTATCAATATAGTCATGCCTGAGCGCGCAAATATCAGCTCCGTGATTAGTAAACTTTGATTGCTATTAATTTAAAAATTATTATAGCCTATTAAAAACTATTATAGATTTTCATATTAGTATTTTCATCTTAGAATGTCATTAAAGAATCCATTTTTAAAAGGACGTTTTTGAAGTACCCTGTATCTGTATATATTAAATTATTTCTCTTTTATTTTATAGATAATTATATACTTCCGAAAGGTGTCATGGTCTCATTGTCAATCTTATTAACACATCGAAATCCGGCAGTTTGGCTGGACCCATTGAAATTCGACCCAGATCGCTTTCTTCCAGAGAACTCGAAGAACAGAAATCCGTACGCCTATGTTCCGTTCAGCGCTGGACCAAGAAACTGTATAGGTCAGAAATTCGCTCAACTCGAAGAGAAAATCGTGTTGACTGCTATCCTCAGGAAATGGAGAGTGAAAAGTGTGAAAACAGTCGACACGATTAAGTTCGGCGGCTCTCTCATTTTACGACCAAGTGAAGATGTATTAATACATTTCACGCCGAAGAAATGAACAATTTGTTATCAAATAAAATAGTTGGCCCAAAAATCGTACCAGAGTACCAGTAATCGCCAAGTTCACGTATTACAAACGTATTTCAGTGCTTTCTGTCGATCTTGCGAATATTTTTATTGGTTCCAAGGAAGTGTTTACAATGTTGTGTTACATTATGAAACTCGTAAATATATGAATTCACTATTGATTAAATTGAATATTTGCAGCAACCGAGCCTATACGTGATTTCAATCAAATGCTTCATTGTGAGATTGAAAGACACTGTTTGACATCTGGTGTAAGTTTAGAATATTGGCAATTTGCATGAGGTACATTGAGCTTCGAATTATATTGTAAATCGCAGTTTTACGTGCACCATTACAAATTATTGTTTCATACAAATTTCGTAGGTTTTTTTTACGTCATAAGCACTGGTTTCTCGAAGCACGTAGTCGTTCGAGTAATTGCCATATCTATCAATTACTGGGATTAGGTGAGCCGAAAAAAATTCTTGTAAATCGAATAATAATGTGTCCAAACTTCAAATAAAATTTGTTATTATCTAGACATTCTACATATCAGTATCATAGGCATAGTCGAGTTAAATAGATACGCAAGCAAATAAAGGATGTCGATCACTTCTGGATCATTTCTGTGTCGATAACTGATACATCTAGAACAGAAATCAGCACTACTCAAATAAAAATTAATTTTACAATTTTTTTCTGTTAAAACAGTTATTAATATTTATTGAAAATGTGTAATAATGATAATTTTGAAAAAAATAAAATATACAAAATTATAAAAAT